TCTTTCCTCTCCCCTCTCCCTTCCCTTCTTTCCTCTCTCCTCTCGAGACTCGTAAGGAAATACTCTAGAAAATTGTCCTTACGAGTTACGACACAGCAGTGGCATGGCGTGCTTTGCGATATATCGATTGATTTGCCATTTAAAATGATGGGAAAAGATCAATAGACATGCAGCATGGTATTCGTATGCAGCGAACACCTTAATAATCGATTCTTTACCATAGCTTCAAATGGAGATATATCGATAATCGATCATTCACGCCTCGCCACTGCGACACACCTCATATCGACGGTGAAACTACCAGACCACGTATCTCGTTTGAGGTGTTTAAAAATCTCCACTCACATTTTATTTTTTTGAAGGAGATCAAATCAATATCATTCCTTACAATTTTCACAGATTTTTCTCCGCACAAAGAGGAAAAATCACGGAAGTTTTCACGAATTGACGTTGAGTAGTTTTCTATTTAAAAAATAAAGTATGACAGGAAGTCTGCGACGTCGCAAACCGAGATACGTGGTTTGGTATAGTTTCACCGTCGATATGTTTAAGTACGAAATGTTCAAGGACTTATCCAGGGCTCTCGAGGATCTCAAAGGAGGCCTCAGCCCAAAATCATGGAAAAAGACAAAAAAACAGGGACGATTTTTAATTGCATTGATGCAGAGAACTGGGGTCAAACCATCATGCGGTAACCCAAGGGGGAAGAAACCAAGGGTGTCACCGGTGGATCAAGTCATAAATCGAATTTTTCAAAGCACGCACGGTATCTCGGCCGATATTTAACGTAAAAAGTTGCTGTTAAGACAGATCTCATTATTTTTAGCTAATCTACAAGAATCAAAATACGAGTCTGTGACCAGAGCAACTGACTCATTAGGGCGGTTTCTCAGACAACTTGCCTTCAAATTTATTTATCACTAAATGTTCCATTAACCTTGCACGTCAAATTTTATTTCAGTTCGTTTGATGCATTTACAGAACAACTTTCTGGCCTCAAAAAAGCGTAGTTGGAAAACACTCATTATTGCACTATTTCCAAGAAACTTTAAGGCTCTGCTCCACAGGGTTATAGCTAGCAAGCTGTAGCGACCAAGGGGTGCTAGCCCTCGTGAGGATTTTCATGAGAGTTAGACATTCGGAGCCGAGATAAAAAGTCAATGTCAGTAAGTCGGAAAGTTTTGTTGACTAATGCATATTCATGGAAGGAGCAGAAATATAAACAACCGACCGGTGAAAGGGAAATGATTTTGCATTCATGTTAACAAGGGGTGCATCCGGAAGCATTGTTTGATAATCGAAACATTTCGGAGATGTACGATCTCGCTACCAAACAAAAGTATGGTTTTGTACCAATTTAATTAAGCCAAGTGAAAATTAAGTGCGTCTCCGAAAATCGAAATTTTTCAAAGAGGAACGAGGGAAATTTCCTTCTTTATCAGCGCGAAAGTAATAATGAAAAATGGTTTGCCCTTTTGATAAATAGATGGGATAGTTTTAACTACTGAAGAAAGAAGCAATACCATTTCGAATTAGAAATTGTTCAAAAAAAGGAGAAAACAGGAGAGGTGAACCTGGCGTTTTTAGAAGCATCAAAAGTCAATGGAGTCGTGCGGTTTGCCGATTACTTTCGAGGGGATGAAAATTGTATGAAAGGGAGGGGTGAGGGCTTGACTTATGCACGAGCTGGTCCGTCCATTAATTGGGTGTTTTATCCCCCTTTTTCCTTACTTATTTCCCTATTTAACATTTGTCTGTTGTTGATTATTATTCTCAATGCAGTTTACTTTATACCATTCCAAACACCGGATACAGATCGACGTAAAATAAAATAATAATACGCTACCAGCTATGGTGGTAAAAATTCGAAGAGATTTTTCTTGCACTCTGAAAAAATTTGAGTTTATGATTTTGCGACTAGGAATACTCAATACTTGGACGAGCAGTACCTACAGACACTTAAAACCCATGAAAAGGATCAAAAGCCGGGTCGTATTCTTGTCTTAAAAAATTGGTCCGACTGTAAAGCTCCGAACTTTTAATGATACTTTCCACCCCTTGTTAAAAGAGTAATTTTTCTATGCAAAAAATAGAATAACATCAATATGATAATGCAAGAAAGTTTCTCTTTAAATGTAGCGGAGTTCACTGAAAAAATAGTATCACAACCCTAACTATACTCCTGGCTGATTTTGACGCCAGATATAAGAGTAGTTATACTAGCCAAGGGTATGTTTGATCCCATTACACTTTCGGCAGAATCAACAGTACCTCTGCCTAGAGCGACTACTCTTATATCTGGCGCCAAAATCAGTCAGTAATAGTTGGGATTGTGATACTTTTTTTCCCGTGTTAATTACTTTCAGATTTCTAGCAATGTATCCTTTTTACTTTTTCTTTCACGAACTCCGTACAAATTTTACAAGTTAGAAGAACGACGCCTGTAATTTCTATTTTTTTGTGGTTAGAAAGGAGATTTCTAGCGTCCTCGTTTTAATTGACTGACCCTTTCGTCGTCAGAAAGCTAAACACTTATTGGAGCCAGTTAGTATAGTTAGGTACAATACTATAGGAAATATGCATTATTTTCGTAAGAATGTGGGAAAACATCGCGAGGGATTTAACGAGATCTAGTGGCGCGCTCTTGAAACCTATTTCATTACGGATGACCTTTGGTATTTACATCAACGCGGCAGAGGAAATCTGAACATTGCGTTCAAGAGGCAAAAGCTATGATTTTAACTTAGAGTTTCAAAGGCTTCTGGAGTTCAAGCCAAATAAGTCTACGCACTTCGAGACTGCAACATCACCGTGCTAAGGAAAAACGCCGTATGAACATTCCAGAGTTGACAAATTTCCTTCGATAAAATGTTTATTTTTTGAGGAAAGTTATGAATATTTTTCTGAGAAATTTTCAAGAACTTTAGGTAAAATTGCGAACAAAATTATCTGAAAAATTGGAAGAGAAATATTTACAAATTTTTCCGAAAATTCGTGACTTGCCAAGGGAAATTTGGCCGAAAGGTTCATACGGCGTTCTTCTTTAGCACGGCAGAACAGAGGACGTAGATTGTCTGACGTCACTTTTACGTGTAAAGTAAATGGAAGAATCACGATGGCGGCTCTTCTGTCGCAGTCTGAACGTGCATAAATTCATTTGGCGTGGACTGGACCTTTGGAAAATAGTGTTTCTAATTAGATGGCATTAATTCCTCTACGAAAAGGGGATGAACTGCGGATTGGCTATTCGGGAAGCTTTAACGATCTTCAAATCAATTAAACTCATGTGTTTGGGTCGCCGATCACGGCTGGTCTCAAATTCACCCACGTTTCTGTTTTGACAACAGTTATGACTGTGCTACTCGAATAAAAACAGATCGGTCATCTACTCTGGGTTCTCTGGCTTCATCTTCTCAATCACGGCATAGTTGCCACACGTTGCACAGTCACTAGACTGAGTTCCACATAATGATGCAGGGTTCAGTTTTACTTTGGGTTTTTTATTACAATATTTGCCTCAGGATTAGAAACGTAAAATATCGCTGGAACCAAGAGGAAAATATTGCACGAAATTTTCAAGCCTTTCATATAATTTGCTGAACTAAACTAGTCCTTAAAAATAAATTAAAGGTATTTGATTATGATAGCACTGTAAAGGTCACCGAAAAAAATTGGGATTTTAAATGAACATCCTAGCTGGTAAAAAAAAAAAAAAAAAAAAAAAAAAAAAAAAAAAAAATTGCGATGACCTCAAAACTTTTGTACCGGTTGTTCCTGCTGCATCTTATAACATTCTGAGGACGTTGTATTAACAGCTGGGACAGTCGACAAACGTCAACTCACTTAACATTTGTAAATGTTAAGCCACACTCCTGTTAATTTCACTACCTGCGGGTAGAGAAATTAACGGGAATGGGCTGATTATTGAAATCGATAGACAAAGCGATAAAAAAAAAAAAGGAACGGAGAGTATGAGGCAATCATATTGGTTGAAATGAGTGGTTCCTATAGACTAAGGAAGAAAATGATGGACTAAATATGGGTGCTCTATTATGTAACTCTCACGTAGGACCGTTAGTCTATTATCTACCTTCTTTGTCCATTACAACCACCCACTTCCACCAATAGGATCCCTCCATGCCATTTGGACTTCTTTATCTACAGCTCTGTCTATCACTTTCAATAATCGGCCGCAGGGACAGTTGTGACAAACGTTTTGAGGTCGTCGATCAATTTTGTACAACTGAGTTGTTAATCTAGTACCCAAAATTATTTTCGGTGCTGTTGGATAGGGTCTTCGGTGAACGGGCCAACACAAATCCGACAACAGAGAGTCATCGACGTTGATTTTTACGAGCTCAATGACGACTGTCGCGCGACGCGTCTCTCCTCGTCATATAAACAAATTTTCACGTCCTCCAAAATTTTCCAAGTCCCCTTCCCCCTTATCTATTGATAAACATGAGGAGTAGATTGAGATGACCTAGGTCGCGCATGATGCGTGGGCGGTTGGAGATCCAAATTTCAAGCACTTTACCTAGTAAGCTAAGACTTGTGACGCACAGAAACTGTAAAACATAAGTTCATTTTTCAGTATATGGACCCGTGAACGAGTTGCAAGTTTTAGCAGTCATTAAAATTTCACGGAGAGCGATTCGCGCGCAACGAAAATTACTGAGACTAACTCGTGAATAAGCTATTTTAACGTTTTTAATGCGTAAATTCGAACTTCTCGCTCATGAAAAGATATGAGACGTTACTTACTTAAGGCAAATCGCGTAATAGACGTCACCCTAGAACCCGAACAGACTCAGGTGTTTAGTTTCACGGAATTCTCTTTTACGTATGTACTTTGATGAACAAATTCTGCACAAGAAAAAAATTTGGTGATCGCAAAGGATGCAGAATCGAATTGCGAACCATACTTAATTGTGCTAGACGTAGCGTTTTTTAATTAAGAGCGTGAATTTTGCAAATAAGTTACTTTATAGGTCACTTACGGGTTGAATTCGCAAATTATCGACGTATCTACCGCACTCTGCTTAACATTTTGATTTGAAAATGAATACCTCGGTCCTGGCATTTTTACTCTGGGTAATTGTCAATCCTATAATAGAGACCAGTAAAAATATAAAATAGGTACCGAAATTATAAATATTGTTACATTTTTATACAAAAAATATCATATTGCACAATGATTGGTTCCGAGAAAATTCCTACCATAATTGAGCATGGGTATGAATGATAATAGATCGTCGTTTTCCTTACGAAAGAATGTAACTACATTTCAATGTTGCCGAATTCCTTTGCGTAAATTGCGTCTTTACCAGGAGCATTTCAGGCACTTCTAAGTGAAAATTTCACTGATTTTACGCAAAAATCAGAAAAATTTTCGTCAAAAACTACACAGGATTGGACCAGTATGTTTTCATGAGTTCAAGAATCGCAATACGATGGGGAAACTGCAGAAATACGTGCCTATCTCGATTTGCGGCGTTGAAGACTTCCTATCATACTTTTACTACATGGAAAACTACTGAACGTCGTTTTTTTCAAAATTTCAGTGATTTTTCTTCTCTTTGTGAAGAATATCCTGTGAAAACTTCACGCCATGATGTTGGTTCGATTTCCTGATAAAACAATAAAATAGTGGCGGAGATTTCGAAACACCGCATCCGGGATTCGCACTTTCGTAGTTTCATCGTCGTGTAGCGTTACGACAGCAGGAGGGGAGTCGAAGAATTTACAATTTGCCGCTATGCATATGAAATGCGAAAGGCCACATAAGCTTTGGCATGCAAATAAGCCTCGGTGGTGCTAGGTCATTTTTCCTAATTTTTTTTTTCCTACATGAGGTTTTCCTATTACTTTTTTCCTTCTCGTTTTTCGTCCTATTACAGTAAGTCCTACGAGTGAGATGTCCCACTGGCTTTTTTCCTAAGGGTGTTTGTCCTAATAATTAAATAATAATTGAAACGTAAACATGAGTAGAGTAGAGGGAAATTTTTCAGAAAGAGTAAAGTTTTCTCAGCGAGCCGAATATAAGTGCGTGAACAGGAGACATTACAAGCTGAGCCTTCTATACCCTCAATATAAGGAGGAGGATGAAGCTCCACTATACTTACGGGCATGTGGCCACAATTTTAACTTATGAGGTGCCTATGATGTTTTTTTACTTTTTCGATCCCCTAGTTTTAAAATTGAATTTCGGACAAATGCCCCTAGGAAAAAAGCCAGTAGGACATCTCACTCGTAGGAGTAACTGTGATGGAACAAAAAACGAGTAGGAAAAAAGTATTAGGAAAAATTGCAGTAGGAAAAAATGTTTTAGGAAAAATGACTTGCCACCAGCCTCGGTGTTCTGCCTACCCCCTAAAATTTCAAACGCCAACTTGGCTGGCGAGCTCGCAATTTCACCGAAAAAAAGCGAAGTTGATCTAACATCCTGGATGTAAAAAAGTGTGCGAGAACTTATAAAATGCTGAATTATACCGGCCACAGCAGTTAGGTTTACATCTGGGCATTGGCAAAGTAACTGATGTAGCGGGTAATTTAGCATCTTATAAGTTTTCGCACACTTTTTATACATCCAGGATGTTAAACCAACGCCACTTTTTTTCGGGGTATAGGAGTTATCGATAATTTTTTGGAGGCCAAATTCACGTTTTGTATGCGCATATCGACGGTGAAACTACCAAACCACGTATCTCGGTTTGCGACGTCGTAGACTTCCTGCCATACTTTAATTTTTAAATGGGAAAGTACTCAACGTCAATTCTTGAAAACTTCCGTGATTTTTCTTCTCAGTGCGAAGAAAATTCTGTAAAAACTTCAAGGAATGATATTGAATTGTTCTCCTCCAGAAAAATAAAATGAGAGCGGAGATTTTTAGACACCGCAAACGAGATACGTGGTTTGGTAGTTTCACCATCGATACGCATCGTGCATCGTGGCGCGTAAAATTTGACGTTGCGCAGCGAAAGCTAACTTTTAAAGCGCGACGGTGGCCCAGCTCCAGCTCCCCCACCTTTTGCGCGCCATCAAGCTTAATTTTTAGGCTCATTTCGATGACCAAAGTGCGAAACCACGTGTCTCCTTTTGAGACGTGGCTGACTTCCTATCATACTTCATTTATTCTTTGAAAAACTAACATCGATTTAATTTCTATAAAACTTCTCTTACTTAATTATATGTTAGCTAAATAATCTGCAAAAATTTCAAGCTATAAATTTGGCTAATTTCCCTACGAGAAAATGAAATGGGAGCGGACAGTTTTAAAACCACGATGGACATACGTGGTTTCGCGTTTTGGCCATGGATTTGGCGTGTGGCGCACAGTGGATCGAGCCAATTAGAGAGGTTGGACAGGACGTTTTTAACTGAAGGGTCATTCCATTGTAACGGGTGTGACAACAATTTAACTTTAAACAAGAATTTGAACTCTTTCTTGGGGTTTAATTAAAAAATTGTCTGCAGTAGCAGAAAGAACTTTTTTTATAGATCATTTTAGTTTATCAGAAATTGTATTTACTTTGTTCCATTCCTCAGGAAAAAATTAAAAGGCTGCGTAACGGGCGTGACCGATTTTGGAAGTGAGTTTTTCCTCAGTGAGTGTAAAGTGGAAACTCAGCGAATTTTATGAATTTAAAAATCTGATTAAATTATATGATGAAGCCAA